AGCACAACTACCGCCTAGGCAAGCTTCTGATGCGCTCAGTTTTCCAACCCGCGCGCATTGAAGTCACCTGCAAGTACAACTATGTCGGAGCTTCGACTCATCCGAATGAGAGCTGTGATTTCATCATAGAAAGCGTCCTTTTGGGCATCAGGACTGCAATTGGTCGGTGCATATACTGATACGATGAACGAACACCTTTTGATGTCGCTTCCCTTCCGTCCGCTGACTGAACCCTGGAGCCGAACTGCCCATAAACGACTATTGACGGGGATCCAATCGATAAGAGAGAACTCATCCCTGTTACTGAGTTCAATATCTACCCCGCACTGGCCTACTGAACGAGCTTCATCGTCGCCTGATGTGCAAAGAACGTATCTCATCGAAAAATCTGGCGCGCTCAATTGGCTTAGAGTAGTAGTATCCTGGATTTGAGTTTCCGACACGCAGCAAATTTTGATTCCCAAGGATTCCATTGTACGAGCCAGACAAGCTTGTTGACCTAGTTGCATCAAAGTCCTCAAGTTGAAGGCCCCCAGATCAAGTGCTTGACGAGGCTTTAGAATCTGCACTCCATTCCGTGGTAAATCACTAAGTGCTATTTGGGTGTCAGAGGTGCACAAGCCATACCACCACGTCAAGGTGTAGTCTCGTCGTGAATCTTGCCGGTATATGGAGCCGTTGGTTTATTCATCAGCCGGTTTGCAATCTTGCGATAATTTGTTGTGAAGTTATTGTTAAATATCCATATTTGTAGTCGGCGGCAAACGTGCATTCCTTCATGGTCCTCATTTTGAGTTTCAGTCGACTTTATCAAAAGTCGATAAGCGGATACCGCTCGATGATCGCTTTCTTTGTGCGGTTACGCCTTGCATATTCTGTCGCTGTTTGATACACATTCAGATCGGTGGATTTTCCCTCCTTCATTATAATCTTGAAGTCAAACCAACTTAGTCACGCTTCCCAACAGTTCGATGTGAGTTTTGCTCCGCAACTGGTGATACACTTAATGTTAACCCCCCGTAACGTCCTTTTTCATACATAAGCTCTGACTACTCATAAGTAGTCAATTGTTTGGAAAAGATCATTCGGTATGTTAATTCCATGTCCTAGGTATTTCTACTTAGGACGCTATTAGGTAATGGGAGGTAAGTTTATTCTAGCTGAGAAACTGGTTCAAAGATGACCATATCTTGTATAACTGAAAAACAACAGGAGAAGGATGAGGAACTACGTGAAAACTGTCCGAATAAACCATCATTACACATCGTAAGAAAACACGGTAGTGAACAAGCTTGTTTGAGATGATTTATTTACAGGATGATACATTACAATTAATGTCATGAAGGTTTGTCATAATTTTTCCCCTCTACTAGACTGTCGACATGAATTGTGATGTATTAGTCTGATGAATCATCGCAAACGAGCTTGATCACCACCGTGTTCTTGCGTAAAAACTGGTGGGAAAATTGATAGCCGTCGGTTTGAGCTATACAATTGAATTCTAACTGATAAAAAGGTAATTATATAGCTATTCGTACTTTGGAATATCATTTTAACTTTTCCCGTGAAGCAGCTTTTCAAAATGAAGGGCTGCTTCATCCTTTTTGAATGTTCAAATGTGTCAGTTGCTTCATTATGATAGTTAAATCAGTATTCTTTAAAACTCTCTGCTTCCGGACCGAACTGCGGACGGTAAATGTCCAGAATAATAAAAATTAAGCAGTTTTTTTTGCTGGGTGAAAGTAGTGGACAACAGACAGATTCACCCGTTCGCTCTGTTTATTAGTTTCGGATTCTTCATAGAAAGCTTCATTCATCCACCGCTTGAAATATCCCTCCTTTTGTTCCTGTTCGGTATAGATGAACGATCAGGACCGTACTTCTATTCACGAAGCAATGGAGCAACAGAGTATCTCGGTCAGCAAAGCTGGAATCGTCACCAGTCTGCAAGCCCGTTGCACAATCATCGCAGCGGCTAATCCTATCGGCGGTCGATACGATCCCAGCATAACGTTTTCGGACAACGTGGATTTGAGCGAACCCATTCTAAGTCGATTTGATGTCCTGTGTGTCGTCCGCGACACGGTTGACTCCATCCAGGTAATCATTCCCTCCTCTTGGTTATTGTGGTTTTCTACTATGACTACTATTAGTAGTCTAATGCCAACTGTAGTTTTACTGTTAAGATGTCATTTCCTTTGTATCATGACTTACGCATACTATCGTTGCGATAATGGTTAGAGCTAGACAAATCTATCGGTTCGTTTCCTTAGCAAATACTTTTCATATTTCTGTGTCACGGACTTTACGAAAAGGCTCGCTTGGAAGGCGTACATCGACGATAGGTAACTTAGAAATGCCTTGCCATTTTGTCGCTTGAGTGACCGAGAACGCCTCTAAATCTGAAGTAGAATTAAATAAATGGTAGTTCTTACGCAAAGCATCTAACTTCTTGGATGTTAGTTTCTGTTTCATCTCAATCAAATTCAATTTTGTTATCTAGCCCAAACTGCTAAATACACCTGGTTCCGCTTTCAGGATGAGATGCTGGCCCGATTTGTTGTGGGTAGCCACATGCGTCATCATCCGAATCTGACAGCAGAAGAGCGTGATACTTTGGTACAACAGCTTGCCGAATCAGGTACGGCTCGGTCCGGTTCGTCTCCTGACCTTCAGCCATTGGACCAGGTAAGTCAGCAGAAATATCGTCGTGCTATATTCTTTGCTTTGGGATTCAAACTGTTCACTCTTTGCTTTTACTTCCGCTTACCATTTACGTGCACATCAGTCATCCAAAACTGTCCTAGATAGTTGATTCTGTACACCCACAATATTTTTGCAATCTATTTAGTACGAGTTATTTATTCACCCTGATAGACGATAGAATTTCTGTCGAGCGCATTCTGTTACTTAAACCATATTTTCAGCACTACCTTGTCTTGAGGCACAATGGGGTCAAACGATTCGAACCGTTGCTATCGCCTCCTGTTCATCTTTGTAGTTTTTTCAGATCTACCTGATTATTTTCATTCTACGATAAATACGCGGCTACGAAACGATTTACTGGGAAGAATGCGCGCAAACTGCAGCTGGTGGCGGGGCAGTTTGTTGGAATTTTCTCCATGTAAGAAGTAAACCCCAAAATCCCGGCAGCCTCATCCCTCAGTTTCAGTTTAACAACCATTAACCATCCACTTTCGTGCACGGGT